GGCAAACATTATAATACTTTCTTGTTTGCCATCAGCATTCAGCAAATACACATTTATATCATTTAAACAAATCTTTGAATGACTAATGAACATTTAATTTCACAAACCTTGCAAACTTAGACAAATCTAGTTGAGATCTTGTGAAGTGTGCATGTGTATCCTGCATGATCGCGTGTTCTCTGCGTGACGGTCGATCCGTGTGAATTAAATACGGACAGGAGGAGAGTTCAGCTTCACTGGAGATGCGCGATCGATAAACTTTAAACTCATGATTTCAAATTATGCTGCGCTTTATGCATTTGCCCACTGCCATATTCATATCATTTTCACTGTGTACTGTATGTAAAATGAGTGTTACCTTGGCTTTACTTGAAAACAAATTTGATTCCCAATGCACACAAACTTCCCAGAATACCGAGTGCCCTGTTGGTTACAGTGTTTACTTCCTTTTTTTATTTTTATTATATTTATTTGCGAAAAATACTTTGTCATCTAAAGTATAAGTTTATTTAACATTTATTTTTTAATCCATTTTCAAATTATTTTTTACATTTCTTAAATATTAAATTAAAATAAATACAATTATATCGGCCACCCTGCTTTCCAAGATATCGGCATCGGCTGTCAAAAAAACAACATCGGTCGACCACTAGTCTACATACCCAACACGTACTACAACAAAAAAAATACAAATAAAATCTAACACGTACTACGCGCATGATGTTACCGTTTTCAAAGATTCCCGTATTGGGTGTTTACACGGAAACGATAACGGTGGCGTTTTCAGAAACGTGCACTTTGATATATATTGAAAATATGCGTTTTCGGTCTCCAAAACGCCGATGTCGTGTAAACGAACAGGCAAAACGCATAAAAAGTTTCCCCGTTTTTGGCTGAAAACGTTGTCGTGTAAACAGCCCCCAAGTCTCTTACCCTTAACGTTCTTTCTGCTTCTCTGCAGCGCCGAAGGGCCACCTGATCTTCACAAATGATTTTCCGCCACGTCTGGCTCACTTTTTTACAGCTGCAAAAGACCAAAAACAGTCAGTCATTCTGATTCAGTGCGAGATACAGATCAAGCCACAGGAGAAATGAAACTAAACCGGAAGCTACCTCACTAAGTCACAATCTCCCAACAGGCCCAATATCCTGGCAAGGATATGCCTCATGTCTTTCCTCAACAGGCCGCAAAGGATGTCCACAAACTGCCGTCCCATCTTCCCACCGATCACATTATTCAGCCCATAGTTCTCAGCAACCTTATCGACGACGGTCCAGTCGTAACTTTTGCTCTTTTGAAAGCCTTTAGCCAGCTCTCTGCACACCTCCTCCTGAAACTTCAACACGGGCAGACAGGGCGCAGAATGACACTTCACGGCCAATGACTGAGAGGACACGCATTTCTCTTCACTCCTCTCCAGTGAGTCCGCGCCATCCACATCCCCGTGATCCACCTGGCTGTTTTGTAGGGAAAGGTAGCCGCTGTCCTCGGTTAGGCTGCTACTGCTGAGAACCACCTCGTCGTCTGATGCCACATCTAGAGAATGACGCTTATTCTGGTAGTTCTCTTTATTGTGGGGGCCTTTGCTTCTGGCCTCCACAGGAGTGGAGATGTTGGCTGCCACGGGGGAGCGCGGGGCTGATATCCATGGCGAAACCGTGTGGCCCTTCTTCATCTCACCGAGGTCCGTTTCAGCTTTCTCCATGTGGCATAAAACTGGTGAATCCTCACTGTAGCTTGGACACTTCATATCGAGGCTGATCCAGACACAGCGAACTAGAGGAAATGAGAAACAAGACATGTTAAAGTTTCCACAAATTGTTGACCCTGGTTATATGCATCATTAGTAACATGAGCATTTCCCATAAATCCACATAGGCCAGACTACTAGCTATGATATGTACTACCAGTAAATGAGTATATACTGGAATTGCATTAAATTGTTGATTCTCTTGATGTTGTAGGCGTCTAACGTTACATCAATATAAAGAATTACATAATATATCAATATACATACACAAAATCCTAGTTAATCCACCCACTGTTTTAGACTCAAATAAATGAACATTAGCCAGACTTCTCGTTTTAAGCAATACAACTTGGGTATTAAGACACACTGATAATACATGTCAAAATACACACGATGTGTTTAAATGTTATCTAGGTGATGCATTTATTTTTATGTGATTTATTTGTGTTTTTCATTTTGCGCGCCTAAGTGCGTGCATTCCTGACGTGGCTACTCATGATACACCACATGCTAGCTTACAATAAAACTTCAAAAACGGACAGATAGATAGTCTGATGTCCCGCTGACCTGTGGGCAGATGGACGATCCTCACGGCGCTGTCGGTGGTGTTGACATGCTGTCCTCCTGCTCCACTGGCTCTCTTCGTCTCCATCCTCAGATCTTTAGGATTGATGGTAAATGAGATCTGTGTGGTTTAAGAGAAAATGCAATTAGATCTATAACCACATACACCTGAATACAGGTTTTCTAACTGAATCCTGATTCTGTTTTTAATAATAACACCTAATCTATCATCCGTTTATCATCTAAATATCAGTTAGAGCTGAAGATTTCAGTACCTCAGTGGGCTGGGGAAGTATGGCCACCGTCATGGTGCTGGTGTGTATGCGACCTTTACTTTCTGTTTTCGGGACCCTCTGGACACGATGGACTCCAGCTTCAAACTTTAACTTTTTATAGCTGAATGGACCACTGATACTGGCGGCTGCACGTCTGATGCCCCCTAAACAAACCAAATACACCACTGGAAATGAGGATTCATAGCACACGACCACAACACTGCAATCACTGACCCAAGCACATATTAGTATTATTATTAAGCATTTACAGAGGACAAATTTGTCAACCTAGTTCACTAGACATGACCTCCAGGATGTCGAAGCCCCAGCCATGGAAAGCAGCGAAGTTATGATACATATCAAAGATCTCTGCGGTAAAGAGCATGGCTTCTTGACCTCCGACCCCAGTGGTGACCTCTAGGACCAGGTCACTCATGTCTGATTCCTCTTCTGGGATCAGAAGAGATAAAATCTGAAACACAGCACACAGATTCAATTTTCATTTTGTTTGAACTTACTACATAACAGTGCTATTTTTACAACATTTTAATATTTTTACTTGGATTGACTTACTAAACTGTTACTACTTATTGTACTGCCTTTAATAACTCTTTAAGCATAATTTATATATTTATATTGATATTATATTAATTATATGAATAAAAATACAATGATATTAATATTATTATTGCTACAATAAAATATTATATTTATTTTATATACATTAGTTGATAATAATTTATAGTAATACATTCCTTTTCATTTAGAATACATAGAATAACTTACTAAATTTTTACTATTTATTGGACTGCTTTAATTAAATAATTAAATAAGCATCATTTATATATATATATATATATATATATTAATATAATTTAAAATAATATCAACAACATCACAATGTATAATTATTATTATTAATATTAAACATTATATTAATTGCATATCCATTTACGTGACAATTTATAACAATACATTCCCAATACATTATATATATATATAAATGAAAAATTACTGGTAATGTATTGTTATAAATTGTCACGTAAATGGATATGCAATTAATATAATTAATTTCCAGTGGTGTATTATCTTCATTTTATTTTTGTTATTTTTATATTTGTTTCTAGTTCATTTACATTTACTTTATATTTATTCTACTTGTTAATTTATACTAACATGTTAATAACACTTTAATATGCATATTAATTACATATATATATATATATATATATAGTCAACGATGTCAACAACATAATAATATTGATATTATTGATATTATTAATATTTAATATTATATTGGTTTTATACATTATTTTAGTTCATGCTCATTTACTTGATAATGACAATGTATAATAACATACTACTAATAAAATAATATAATATACATATACAATTATGATCCTAAAACAGGCTTCATTTGAAAATAACTAAATAAAATGGAATTGAAAATGTGACGTGGATATGTGAGATTCAGCTATAAAGTCTGTAAAGTGTGTATGTGTTATTCATCTTACTCCTCGGCATACCAGGTCTGTATGAGAGTCAATAAGGGTCATGGATTTAATAAAGGTGACTGGAATGTTAACGAGAGCCTTTCACACCTCACCTGTTGTTTGAGATCTTGAATGGCTTCTAGACAGGCTTTCTTCTCTGACTCTGCAAGCTCAAGTAATTCTGGGTCATTATCTGAAATGAGACACAGATGCAAATGAAATGCCACCCTACAGAGCTTTTCACTTCCAGCACGCCTTTCCCAGATAACTACCTTTCAACAAGTCCAGCGTGCCCTCCAACTCCTTCTGTTTCGCCCCTAATTCTTTGATTTTCTGGACCAAAGGCCCTAGTACAGAGAGGTCAGTCCTTTTCATTTGCACATCCTCATCATCCAGTGTATTGAGGGACTGCAAGCATGTGTTATACTGCCTTTCCTTCTTCTTTAGACTGCAAGCTCAAGTAATTCTGGGTCATTATCTGAAATGAGACACAGATGCAAATGAAATGCCACCCTACAGAGCTTTTCACTTCCAGCACGCCTTTCCCAGATAACTACCTTTCAACAAGTCCAGCGTGCCCTCCAACTCCTTCTGTTTCTCCTCTAACTCTCTGGTTTTCTGGACCAAAGGCCCTAGTACAGAGAGGTCAGTCCTTTTCATTTGCACATCCTCATCATCCAGTGTATTGAGGGACTGCAAGCATGTGTTATACTGCCTTTCCTTCTTCTTCAGATAGTCATGTAAAGACTTCTTGTTGAAGATCTCCTCCACAGACAGTATCTTAGTGACCAGCACAGACTGGGATGTGTGAAAGGCTCGTTGAGCGTGTGGTATCGTGCTGTTAACAGTGCTGTGAATGGCTGGACATCTGCATACTGATCCTCTTGTGATTGACCTGAACAGTGTCCCATTCAACAGCTGCCTGCCTGCACATGAAAGACTCTTACTAAAGCAAACGACAGCCATCGCCACTCAAGTGCTGTATTTAAAGTGAGCACTTGAAGGTAAATAAAAGCATCGGCCATATAAACGCGCTTCCAACCATTGCAACTTTATTGCAGCCTACAGTTGACCCCTCTGAACTACAACAGTCACATGCGCTGCAGATGCTTTTTCCGGGTGAAATTGTTTTTCAAAATAAAAGTCAGTAACGTTACAAGCGCACTCGAAACGCAGACTCAAGAAGCTCTGACATCTATTGATTAAAAAGCGTTTGCATTGCCTAAAAAAAAGTTAAATAATTTTGAAAGTTCATCAAGGTCAACGTGGAGCACATAAACATATGTGTATGTGTTTACTGGACTCCTGGAGGAAATTTCAAAATAAAATAAAATTAAATAAAAAAAAATTAAAAAAAATTAAATAAAATAAAATAAAATAAAATTACATTAAATTAGTAAATAAAATAAAATTAAGTAAAATAAAATAAAAGTAAATTAAATTAAATTAGTAAATAAAATAAAATAAAGTAAAATAAAATAAAATAAAATAAAATAAAATAAAATAAAATCAAATTAAATTAAATTAAATTAAAAAATTAAATATTTATTTATTTATTTAAGAAACATATGTGTATGTGTTTACTGGATTCTCGGAGGAAATTTCAAAATAAAATAAAATAAAATAAAATAAAATAAAATAAAATAAAATAAAATTAAATTAAATTAAATAAAATTAAATAAAATTAAATTATAAAATAAAATTAAGTAAATTAAATTAAGTAAAATTAAATAAAATAAAATTAAATTAAAAAATTAAATATTTATTTATTTATTTAAGAAACATGCCTATAGAGTTTTAATAATTTATAAAATTTATTAAAATAATAATAATTATTTTTTCCCATGTAATTTATATTTTGTTTACATAAACGCTTTTTATATAAACAATATACATAGATTTTCTTCTTAATAAAGGTGATCTGATTATCTGAGTATTTCCAGCGTTATTTTAAGGTAAACATTACATTCATACATTTGATTTAATTGATGATATTTTTACATAAAAGCGTTTTATATAAACAATATATTAATATGATATTTTAAAATCTGACAGTCTACAATCTAGTCTACTGTTTATAATGTAGAAATACTAGAATACATTGCAAAAGTTGTCAAATCAAGACAAATTGCACATAACCAAGCGACAGTACCACCTGAAACCAGTAGATGGTAATATTTCCAAACCTATTTATTTTAGAAAAATCATGACGTGTTTAAAATGTCATCTATATTCTTTTTAAATAAAGGCGTTTTATATAAACAATATGTTGATAGAATGTTTTTTAAATAAAGGCAATCTACTATTTATAAAATAATCTAATTGCTTATATTACTGTATTTTATAATAAATAATTTATTAGAATACATTTCTGTATTAAACGAAGCAAAAATGCACACAATCGAGCGACACTATCCCCTGAAACCAATAGATGGCAGGATTAAATTCTAGAAAGTATTCAAAAGTTTGCACTGATTGGTAGATAATCGAGTTGTTCATTTAAATGACATCTTTTATTTTTGAGGCCAAACAAAAGGAATATATATAATGAAAGTAAGAGTGGCAAAAGTGTTTCTATCGTGGAAGTCATTATACTTCTCTCCTGGGTGATTTGTTGCACAATTGTGTTGTGTTTTATGTTTTGTAAATGTTTAGAACATTGTTAATGCTGCATAATAATCCAGACACTGCTGATTTCCATCTGGAGGAGCACTATAGGCCAACATGAACATCTCCAAATCTTCTGGATCTCTAGACTCTCTCTTTTTCAAATGCAAGATAACAAAGACAACTTTATTTATTAATATATACAGCATGACGGATATAATGTTTATTAGACCTCATAACTCACACCCTTGAGTTTTCAACACAGATTACAGAGACTCATTCTACCACAAATAAAGGTTTCAACACGCATTTGCCATGACAATAAGTGCTTGTTCATTTGATGCACTTCAGTTGCTATTGTCTTTGGCTGCATTGTTCTCTGATTAGTTCGGTTTCATAATTCCTTAGTGTATGCACATAACACCCACCCACAAACATCTGAGAACAAGCCACGAGAACACAAAGGTTGTATTAAGATTTACAAATGACCATGGACACATTTTGGTTTTGTTTGAAAAAGCTTTTAAAAACTCTCATTTATACAGAATATAAAAAGTATTTCATTATGTTAGATAGAGCACCCAAAATAGTGTGTTATTGTTGTTGTTAAGGAATTGTCATGATTATGCTTATTTATGCATGATGGACAGATGTATAATGTCAAGCCATATTTACTTGAATAGCAAAGACATTTTATGAGCTTATATGAATTGAAAGGCTAGGAACAAGTGTACATTTCTACATTTGATACATTTGTACATTATACAGTGCGAACTGCAACATTTTGATAAAACTCTAGTGTTTAAGTTTTATATGTGTGTGTGTGTGTGTGTGCGAGTGCGTTTTTGTGACAAATGAGGACATACATTTGTATAATGACAAAGGTATTACAAGGAGAAGGTGACTTTTCAGGACATTACCCTATGTCCCCACTTTTCAAAACACTTATAAATCACAGAATGGAGTGTATTGAAAATCTGAAATAGCACAAAGTTTCCTGTGAGGGGTAGGTTTAGGGGTAGGGTTGGTGTATGTCCCCACTTTTCACAAAAACAAACCTGTATGTGTGTGTGTGTGTGTGTGTGTGCATGTTTATGTGGTTTATGATTTATACAAATTTGTATAATAACATGGGTATGACATAGGTATTACAACGAGAAGGTGATTTATGAGGACATTTTCAGTGTCCCCGTAATTCAAAAGGCTTATAAATAATTCAGAATGAGTTTTTTTGAAAATCTAAAAATGCAGAAAGTCTCCTGTGAGGGGTAGGTTTAGGGATAGGGTTGGTGTAGGACAATAGAAAATACGGTTTGTACAGTAGAAAAACCATTACGCCTATGGGATGTCCCCACTTTTCACAAAAACAAACCTGTGTGTGTGTGTGTGTGTGTGTGTGTGTGTGTGTGTGTGTGTGTGTGTGTGTGTATTAATAATTTAAATTAAAATAATGTGAAAGAAACATTTAAACATGAAAAATGTGACTTGAAAATGTGATCGGTTAAGCATCATACGCCTAACAGATCTTGTGTCATATTGTTGAAAACATGCGGCTTTTGGGTCGCGATTTGGTTTGTAGCTTCACCAAACATTAGTAAAGCACAGTGGATCGCATTTATTTAGGCTATTTAGAGCAGGTGTTCTCAATTCAAGCCAGCCCAAACCAGCAGATCATGACCTAGATCTTCAGGAAATCCTCACATGGTATTACATGCTGCTTTGCTAAAGCTAAAGTACATCCGGGACTCTATCACGTCGCGATGTACTTTTTACTTTCGGGAAGTTCAACCAATCTAGGTAGGGACAATGACCAATCGGAGACTGTTCTACAGCGGGAGCACGATTGGATTGGATTGATCGCTCTGATTGACAGCTCTTGCATTTACCTTTCGCCACTGGAAGCAGTGTTGCCAACTTAGCAATTTTGTTGCTAAATTTAGCAACTTTTCAGACTACCCTAGCAACTTTTTCTTCCAAAAGCACCTAGCAACAAATTTAGCAATTTTAAACATTTATTTGGCAACTTTTAGCAACTTTTGATAAGGGCTCAGACAATAAAAAGGCACACATTGTCCATCCAAATTACACAAAAAGAGGAAACCACAGATGCCTTGCAGTACACACATCACGAGAATTGAGTTAGCTGCTATTTGCAATTGTTCAATTTAATAATAATAATAATTGAATAATTTGATAATTGAATAATTGTTCATTTATGATACACTTTGTTAGTAGCTTGTACCTGCGATTGTTGATCAGTTAGTACACTGTAAGAAAAATTGAAAATCTTTCAGAACGTTATCCATTATCCATCATCCTTTGTAACCCTGTAACCTGAAAACACAATGCGTAATTTAAAATACAGGTCAAAAAAACATTACGGAAAATTCTTTCATATTAACATAGTAGATTGTGCCTTATTTTTACAGACTTTTCTTAGAGTGTAGCATACTAACTAGCTACTAATACACTGCTTAAAGCATAATTGTTGAGAATGTGTAGAGTTTACTAGCTACTAAAAAAACTTAGTTTTCAATAATTCAATGTATTTAAAAATGCAGTTATTCATATTTTAACATTATATCATGCATATTATTTTAAAAACAAATTTAAATTAACATATATAAAATATATTTCTTGCTGAGATTTGATGATGTGACAATTTTGCGTCGTGATTACGCAATGACGTCATTGAGCAATGACATCACAACGTCATTTAGCAACTTTAAGCAACAAATCAACCTTCCTTTAGCAACTTTCTCTGAAAATTAGTTGGCAACACTGACTGGAAGATCAGTGCCAGTGTTGCCAATTTAGCTACTTTGTAGCTAGATTTAGCGACTTCCCCGCCCCTTTTGAGACTTTTTTCAAAAGTTTAGTGACAAATATAGCAACTTCTTGGACAAACCTTATCTAAGTTCTCATCTTGCCCACTGATCTACGTTCATCTTTATATAGATCAGTGAATTTGCCATTGTGATGTCATCTAGTGACATGTAGCTACTAGGGACAATTTTGCGTCGTGATTACGCAATGACGTCATTGAGCAATGACATCACAACGTCATTTAGCAACTTTAAGCAACAAATCAACCTTCCTTTAGCAACTTTCTCTGAAAATTAGTTGGCAACACTGACTGGAAGATCAGTGCCAGTGTTGCCAATTTAGCTACTTTGTAGCTAGATTTAGCGACTTCCCCGCCCCTTTTGAGACTTTTTTCAAAAGTTTAGTGACAAATATAGCAACTTCTTGGACAAACCTTATCTAAGTTCTCATCTTGCCCACTGATCTACGTTCATCTTTATATAGATCAGTGAATTTGCCATTGTGATGTCATCTAGTGACATGTAGCTACTAGGGATGGGCGATACCACTTATTTTGTATTCAACACGATACCGATATTTTTCAAGGCAGTATCATTGATATCGATACCGATACCGATACGATACTTCTGAACTAAACTTTTAAATGATGAAATGTATTAAATTACTAAGAGTAAAATGGG